GGTTTTTCATTTATTTTTTACTGGAATACTTCATCAGAATTTAATAACGTCTAGCAGACACAATTCAGTGACATACATCAGATGTTAGGATTCTAAATTCTGGTGTTTCATCTATAACCATCAGAACTTAGTACAATAGGCATCACAATTCAACTTCTTTTGCGTAGGGTAGGTGAGAGCGAGCCACTTAGAAACATTCGCGAGAATTTAGGATCAAAAAGATGGCGTAATTCTGGTGGAAATATATACCTTTTGAATGTTTTGCATACATTGCCTGGTTCTGCAATGACAAAGAGTTGTGAATAGTTTTTTATTGTAGTACAATAATTTGTTTCATACTTTGTTTGGAATTTAATTCTGAGCAAAATGGTGTAACTGTTATGTTTAAAAAACCAGATACTTCCATCACAACCGAAAACGAACTTTCGCCACAAAACGGGTTAACTTTAGTAACCACTATTCGAACATCGCCACATGCCACAACTTTCATCACATACCACAAGAACTTTTCGTCATGGGACGAAAGTTATGCTGACGAAAGTGCTGTGAATCGTTATATAAGCAAAACGTTTGAAATGTCGTTTTTTCTCAAACTACATCATCGAATGCGATGGAACTTCTCGTCATTAAATAATGATCGCTATAACAAAGGACTAATGCCTGACAAAAATTGTTTATGTGGTGAGAAGGAAACAGCAAAAGACTATTTACTACATTGAGTTTTCGTTTGAAGCCATTCTATTCGCAACTCATCAGCAGTTTTTTATGTACAAAGGAGATGTAAGAAAAGAACAAAAAGTTAATTATAAAAATATTGAAAAGAGTGAGGTGCTGGCGAATAGAATGGCTTCAAGCGAAAACTCAATTAATTATTAATTGCTTTCTCAACAACGGATAGAAAAAAAATAATGCATATCGAATTTTAATAATTTATTTTTACAGAAGCGATTTTCGGAGTGGTCGATTTACGGAATCGGCGGCATCGTCGGTTACTTTATAGATCACAAAGATCTCGCCGAAATCTCTGATGTTCTGGGTAGGAGATATTCAGCGTAAGTTCGACGACCTCTGACACTATACTGAACTGTGGATATTAAACAGAATGCATTGACTTTCGGCTCATCTGACCTCATTTTTCTGTCGATGTTTTTTCTTCTTGTATGTCCACACAATAATATGTGAAAACGAAATTTTCTCTTAAGTATAGAAAAGCAACAAATTTTCTATTCTTCATAAATATTCATCAATTATGTATGCAAAAAGGAGAACACTGATTTAGAATTTACTTCAAACTCACGAATTATAACTTAATTAATTAGAAAAGACCTATTTCAACTTTTGACAATCTTTTAAAGTATACGAGTTGCCCTATACATACACTGATCTATCTTTCCAAAAAACAGAGATCCTCCGTTTTCCATTCCTAATTCAGAAATAACGGCTGTGCTCGGTTAACATATGCAAGACAATTTTTTGTCTATTTCTAGTAAAAAGTACAATGCCACATTGTACTGTATCTTGTGGCCAGAGAAAAGCGGATGCGAATGAAGTAATTTTATCGAAGTTTCATCAAAATCTGCTACACCATTTGTTCAAATTATGGGATTTATAAATTCTACCGTCAGAAATGCGATCGGTTCGAGTTTTTTTCAAACTGGACTACAACGAACCGATAGTATCTCAAACCGAGTGAAATATCGTCTATAGAGAGGCGTTTTATAGGATGATAGCGCTTTCGTCACGTTAATTTTCGGCATATAGAAAAAAAACTTTCGCCATATGTAACGAAAGTGTATGGTATTTTGGGGGGTACCAGCCCACACTTGGATCACAAGAGCGGTGAACTTTCGTAACCAACTTTGCGCTATACATACACTGATCTATCTTTCCAAAAAACAGAGTTCCCCCGTTTTCCATTTCTAATTCAGAAATAACGGCTAACCTGTGACGTGTATACGTGGTATGAGTAGAGGCATTGTCGCTGTGCATTTAATAGATTTAAAAAGCGTATGACATGACAAAATGACTATTGTTAATTTATTGTGTCAAAATGACTATTGTTTTTTCGAAAAAAGACTACAGATACTTATTCATACTGAAATTGAAAAGGAGACCTCACAATCTCACTAGACTTGCAGAATCTGAAAAATAAATTAAACAAACGATATAAGAAATCATTACAGCTTGCACGTGTGGCGTGCCTCTTTTTTTGATTTTTCGTAACACCATAACATTTTTTCCATTTTTCCACAAGCGAACACCTTTTCGTTGATGTGATTTAAAAACTTTGGAAAGTATTGTATCTCGTATTGTACATGTTTCTCTACAGACTGGTATAAATTCAAAGGAGGGGACCGTTTTGTGATGAAATCGACCCATTACAATGTGGCTAAGGGAGTCGAACCGGACATCATCGAAACCTTAAAACTACTTCTCAAGAGGAATTTTCTCACTTGGATATTTTCTCGGCTCGAAGCCTAGTAGAAATCGTCAAGAATATACACACAGAATATAGAGTAATTTCATACTGAGTGCAGTGAACATTTCAAACTTAGAAGCAATATCTCATCTATCAACGTCATATCGTTCTTTTCTGTTCTCTTCTTCTATTTTAGGAAAATAATCCTTGGTTCACTATCTATCATAACAAACGGAGGATCTCTGTTTTTTGGAAAGATAGATCAGTGTATGTATAGTGTAACTCGTGTACTTTAAAAGTAGACTGTTGTTTATTTATTGTTTCAAAATGACTATTGTTTTTTCGAAAAAAGACTACAGATTTGTACTCAAATTGAAAAGGAGACCTCACAATCTCACTACACCTGCAGAATCTGAAAAATAAATTAAATAAACGATATAAGAAATCATTACAGCTTGCACGTGTACCGTGCCTCTTTTTCTGATTTTTCGTAACATCATAACATTTTTTCCATTTTTTCACAAGCGAACACCTTTTTGTTGATGTGATTTAAAAACTTTGGAAAGTATTGTATCTCGTATTGTACACGTTTCTCTTCAAAGTGGTATGAATTCAAAGAAGGGGACCGTTTTGTGATGAAATCGGCCCATTAACCGAATTCAGTTTTATTCATACGGTAGGTACAATGCAACTAGAGGAGTCGAACTGAGCACCTTCGAAACCTTAAAACTACTTCTCAAGAGGAATTTTATCACTTGGATATTTTCTCGGGCTCGAAGCCTAGTAGAAATCGTATTTACTATGTTCTGTCGTTCCATTTCACAGTTGACCACACTTATTATGTACCACTCGAAAGTTCTTTTCCCCAGCAACATTTTTGTATATAAAGCATTGAAAACTAATTGCATTTGAGCAAAGAAAAAACCGAAATAGCATTTACTATTATATTAGATGTGAGATCTGTTCTCCATAGCTGCAGTATTATGGTGATCTGTTTTCTTTATGCCACTCCACTAAAGATACCATCTGACAGAGCGTTTTACGGGCTACAATCCGGTATACAGACATTTGTGAAAAAAGTGTAATAGTGTAGGTTTTATGAGCTTAATACTAGATAGGTCGTGCCTGTTCCAAGGAAACTATCGCTTTTCCTATAAAACTCAAGAGAATTTCTAATTATTCATACATCATTCGATGTGCCTTGGAAAACTCTACAATGTGGGTTAATAGGAAATTTGGCGAAGCTTTACAGCGGCTTTAGTGTATGTAATACGTCGCCGTTTAAACAGTGGAAATTAGGTATTTTTGATCCCTTATTCGATTTTAAGAATATTTTTAGTTCGTTTTTGGGTCCACTATGTAATGTCGACGAGCTCAGTCCGTCCGAAATATTCACAGGCCTTCGAAATATTCAGTTTCCCAGATCTGAGGTTAATAGCATAGTCAAGGCCTCGGATTGGTTACTTTTCGTCAAAGAAAAAATGTTTAACATAGAAAAAAGGTTAAAAAGACTTAGACAGGGATCTTTAGCTACGAATAACATCAATGCAAAATTCAAAGAACTTAAAAAGCCTGGAACTTTTCTTATCTTTTACGTATTAGCGCCACCTATAGCTCATCAAAATTGAAGAGAAGGCGAGAAAAATCCTAATGAAGACTACTGGAAACAGTAAAACATAAAATTTAGCAAGTTTTTTAACAGAGTAGATCCTCAAATGGTCTCAGGAACGGTGTCTAAAAGCTGTTAGTAAAGGCGAAACAAACATGCGACACATTCTTTTCGAACACAAAAGATTTTCTCACAGGCGCTGCGGCACATTTTACTGGAACACAAAAGGCGACACAATATCTTTTACTGTGTATATACAGCAAAAATTTGAACAAAATGAGACATCTTCGAGCTATGTATGGCATTTTTTCATGAAACAGCATTCGATTTACGGAAGCTCCCATATCATAAAGATGCGCTCCTAGAGGCTTCCGTAAATCGAACGCTGTTTCATGAAAAAATGCCATACATAGCTCGAAGATGTCTCATTTTGTTCAAATTTTTGCTCTATACAATGAGAATAGATCTCACATCTCATATAGTAGTAAATGCTATTTCGGTTTTTTCTTTGCTCAAATGCAATTAGTTTTCAATGCTTTATATACAGAAATGTTGCTGGGGAAAAGGACTTTCGGGTGGTATATAATAAGTGTGGTCAACTGTGAAATGGAACGACAGAACATAGTAAATACGATTTCTACTAGGCTTCGAGCCCGAGAAAATATCCAAGTGATAAAATTCCTCTTGAGAAGTAGTTTTAAGGTTTCGAAGGTGCTCAGTTCGACTCCCCTAGTTGCATTGTACCTACCGTATGAATAAAACTGAATTCGGTCAATGGGTCGATTTCATCACAAAACGGTCCCTTTTCTTTTCTGTACAATTACTTTTACTTTTTTCCCAGTCATTTTTCAGATGATACAAAATCCATTTTAAAGGTTATTTTCAAAATCATTAATAATTAGAGGATTTAAGCAACTCTGATTGTAAGCCATTCTATTGTCTACGTAGCGAAGTACTGGTAGAGTTCAATTAATGTCTGATTGGTCGGATAATCAATATTTTCCAGTAAGCATCTAAAATCACTTCTTAGTTCAATACATTTATATTTTTTTTCCTTTCAGTCTCAACCAGTTTTACATGGAACGGTCCGGTCGTCTTACTTATGGAATTATGACAGAAACTCGGTGAGTATTTTTTACTTTAGTACTCATCAGTAAGTTTCATTACGTTGAGTTTCAGTCACTTCAGCAAGAATTTGGTTTAAATTCGGCACGATCGAGTGGATCATTTACATCAAAAAATCAAGAACATAATACTTCAGGTATACTAAGACAAGAATCGATTATACAAGATGCCTGGTCTGATACTTCCACTCAACAAATACGGCCATCCCGTTTGACACCGATGATTAATCTTATAAAGTAATATAGATAATTTTCAGTTTTACATAAAAGTAACTTTTTCCACTTTCAGATCATCACCATCGTGGAAACGAATTTTATTCGAATTTGGACTTGTCTTGCTACTTTCATCAGCTATTATCTTACCCATTGTCCTTCCGTATACGCTCGCTAATACCAGTAAAATAACAACTACAACATGCCAGACTGCGACTACTAGTATCACATTAAATTCAGCAACTACGTCCACTTCTACAAGTAAGAAAAGAGCTGGATAATTTTTTCTGAAACAGGAATATTCCAAGAAAATATTTGCCTCTCCTTACCACGGTTGCCACCTCAGACGTCACAATCAACACTACTAAGACGCAAAAAGCAGAGTTGAGAAAGAAGAATTGTTGATTACGGTATCCAAGGTCACAACCTTGCTCCTTACTTATTTCGAAGCACGAATGTAGGTTATTGTTATACGAACATCCCAAGAGTGAAAGGAGGCACTGAACTGCGATTTCTACCATCTTGTCCAAGTGATTGAAAAACAAAGTGAGAAGCCAACACTAAGTCTGGCTACGAATGCATTGGTTTTCGAATATGATAAATTCTGCAGAAATATTATTTTACTCATAAAGTGAGTAAGCAAATGTATTTCCGTAAAATGAGTAGGACTTTCTACGTCGGAAACTATAGTCATGCTCAATAAGCCTTTGACTAAATGACTAAAAAATCTCAGAATAAGTATTAAATATTATATTTTGCCTAATGTATGACAAAAGAAATATTAATTACTATTAGTAATGTCAAGCTATCAGTTCTCCTTGAAAAAACATTAAATTATTTTCAAATGATATGAGTGAGTTTTGTTCTCTTTATTTAGGCAGCTCAACATCGACATCAAGTACGTCTACAACAAGTACATCAACCACTTCCACAACAAGTACGACAATCTTTTTATGTTATTGTTTAAATTAGCAATAAACTCTCGATTTTCTAGGTGTAACAACCACCACATCTACTGCTCTTGCTAGCTGCACCTCAACTTGTGTGAATACTACAATAACAATATCTTTAAATCTGATTACACTATACTCATTCGATTCGAACACAAACGATCAACAAAATGTGCATAACGGTGTCATTAATAATGGAGCTGCATTTGCTGCTGGTTATGTTTTGGATGCGCTTTACCTAAATGGCCCAAGTCAATTTGTTAGTGCAACATATATCGATTTTACTTTTAAAAGTTTTACCATTGAAACATGGTTCTATTTAACTGCTCTGAACATGTCCGATTGTAACATTTTCGGAGAATGTGAAGCGAGTGCAGTTGATCGGTGTCTGCATCTTATCATTCGTAACAAACTCTTGTTTATGGGCTTTTATAATGATGACTGTGTTGGGAGTACAGTCTTGTCAACGGGGCAATGGTATCATGTTGCATTTGTTTACGATTATGCAAATTTTCAGCATTTGATATATCTGAATGGTTATCTTGATGGTTCAACATCCTTAGGGACAGGTCCTTATGTTGGACAGTCGGGTAATGTGACTATTGGTTTTACTGGTGAAACTTCTGGAGTATTTTATTATCATGGTTATATTGATCAATTATCAATAACAGCTCGTGCCAAAAGTGCGTGTGAAATACTTAACGATGCTACATTAGTAGCACATTTCTCTTTCGATAATACATGGAGCGATTCTGGTCCAAATAGTCTTTCATACAACGTTCCTCAACAAGGTAATCCAGGAATGTCATTCGTCACTGGTCATAAAAATCAAGGTTTATTATTCGGTGCTAATAGTGCTTTTTTTCAGTCATACAGTTACACAGCTTTAGGAAAAATTAACCAACCTTATACATTAGCTCTATGGATAAAACCAACATATCTTAATGGTACCGTTTTACATTTATCATCAGATTCAACAGGCGCAGGCGGTTGGGTTATTCCAGTAATGGGATTCACTTCGGGATCGAACTTTGCTATACACACATGGACAGGTTCATCTACCTACATTGTCGGTCCTATTCTCCCTTTAGGAAATTGGACACATGTTGTACAAACGTGGGGTACTTCATATGGTCTTCGATTATACATTAATGGTGCACCATATGCCAGTGTTACTGCTGCAACATTTAGTGCTAGTCAGTCACAAATGTATCTGACCGTAGGAAATTCATTGGTCGGAGGTACATATAATTATGGACCATTTGGTGGGACAACGGGTGCGTTTTGGGGAGCGGTTGACGAATTTTATGTTTATAGCCGAGAATTATCAGCACAAGATGTTTGCGTGCTGTTTCAAATGTAATCAAACTTGTCGCTAAAAAAAATGAAAAAGCATTCAAAATGCAAATATTATTTTTTATGTGAAATTTTTATATAATTGATAAAAGATGTGTCGAAACAGTCTATGCTTTCTCAGATCATTAATGACCACGGCGAATTGAGCCAGCGCCGAATCGAGCTGCAGCTGTGATAAAACCTAGTCAGTAGACAAATAGTTTGCTATGATATGGCAGCATAATGTAAGCTATATAGACTTTTACGCTTTTATAACATCTTGTGGTACCACTGATATTTCATCAGTGTCGATTGTAGTCGAAAAAATAAATTTTATTGCGAGAGAGAGGATTTAGTAGAAACTATATATTTTGCACGAAAAGGAAGCGTTCTAAGTTCTCTACCAAACGATTTGAAATAGAGTACAGCTTCTTTGTGAGATATTAACAGGTGGATTAGATTAAACCCGCTACTTCTGTATTCTGTTGAAATAGAGTACAGCTTCTTTGTGAGATATTAACAGGTGGATTAGATTAAACCCGCTACTTCTGTATTCTGTTTTTGAGACAGTAAAAGTCGTTTTGAAACCCGGTATTGACCCAGTGAATATTTTTGATGTCAAAAATGAAAATGGTTAACACTTTGACCGTGTTAAGAATTTTTTAACGCATTTAATAGCATGAGATATGACTAATATCTCATGCTATTAAATGCGTTAAAAAATTGCGTGTGTGCTCATTCAATGAGCTCACACGCAAGTTCGCATCTATTAAAAAGTCATTAATGCGTAAAAACAATTAAAATGGATAGTTTAATGCGTTAGCCTTACTGTAAAAAATCGTTTTAATCTAATATTAAATTGTTTTAGGGCATTTCTTGCCTTAAAATTAAATCGATCTAACAGTATTTTTAACGTGATATCGAGAATTTTGCATTTTAACACTTTAAAATTTTTGTTGTTTGAGAAAACATTTAGCGAAGACAGAATAATTATTGATTGAGACAGAAAAGTCGCAGAACAAAACGTTTTTCTACAATTCGATAGAGGAAGAGCTCCTCTTCCAAAATACCCAGGCCGTGAAAAATGAGATAAAAAGTGAGCCATGAATGACTCATTTATGTGCCATATATGGCTTATTTTTAAATCATATCTCTCCCATATTTATCTCATTTATTGTATCATAATATAGTCATAATTATGTCATTTTTTTATGGGATAAATATCATCTTATTATGGTCATCAAAATATGAGCCTATTATGAT